GTACTTACGCCCAACATAAGCTGTCTCCGTGAAATGCTTGTGCAGTCAGTCCTAAATGCTTGTTTGTTCATTCACGTTCTCTGCACACGTCTGCAGTGTGACTATCAGGGGTTTGTTCCTGTTCTCTGCACACATCTGCAGTGTGGCTATCTGGGGTTTGTTCCTGTTCTCTGCACACATCTGCTGTGTGACTCTCTGGGGTGTGTTCCTGTTCTCTGCACACGTCTGCTGTGTGACTACCTGGGGTGTGTTCCTGTTCTCTGCACACGTCTGCTGTGTGACTCTCTGGGGTTTGTTTGTTCATGTTCTCTGCACACATCTGCAGTATGACTATCTGGGGTTTGTTCCTGTTCTCTGCACACGTCTGCTGTGTGACTATCTGGGGTGTGTTCATTTATGCTCTTTGTACATGTTTGCTGTGTGACTGTGCTGTATGCACTAAAATCTGCTTACGTGGCTCTTCTAAGTCTGTGTAGTCTTAGAAACTGTGGGAGATAAAACAGGCTTAGCCCTCAGTCAGGACATTTGGGAGAGAGTCGAGGGAAGAGTGAGTGAGTGCTTGGAAAGGACACAGACCCATCACCGCAGGGTCAGGATGCCCCCTCATGGGGCCACGACTCCCCTTCCCCCAAATGTTTAACTAGAACCATCGCCCTCCACATTCTCTTCATATTTCTCCTTGTAGCAGAAGCCCCAGGCCAGCAAGTTTTCACCTTGGCCTCACACACCAGCTTTACTTCAGAATTTTTCCTCTCCATCCTCCTGTAAGATCTTTATTTATTTATTAAACAAATTCTCCCTTACTAAGATTTTTTGATTGGGCATTTATTTTGCAGGTGTGTGTGTGTGTGTGTGTGTGTGTGTGTGTGTGTGTGTGTGTGTAAGTACACGCTGTGGTGCACATGTGCAGAGCACATCTTCAGGAATTCTCTCCCTCTACCCTGGGGGTCCTGAGGATGACACTGAGGTTGTCAGGCTTAGTGGTGGGGTCTTACCTACTGAGATACCTCACTCATTCCAACATTTGTTACCTTATTTATTATTGCTGCATGCCTATGGTGTGTGTGTGTGTGTGTGTGTGTGTGTGT